CTGATCATTTATGTATACATTTGTCTATATCTATCTCGATTCGTTTTGCCTGTTACAAACAACCGTTATGTGAACAAAGTTATAATACCCTTGTGCACAAGTGCGCTCGGGTATAAAAAGTAATAATAAAAGCTTATATCAGAGCCATGTATTTTATCTTAAAAGTACTTACTTTTCTCTTTATTTTCTATATTTTGTTAATTTTTTAGACATTTATTAACTTAAATATGGTTATTTAAAAAGAGCTAAAAAACAGCACACCAAATCGATTCCAATACTTCACTCACAGACAACGACTTTGACCACCTGCTAAGCAAGCAGTTGCCGTTCATTTTTTATAATAGGCATCGGTATTTGATTTGAAGTATCCTGTATCAAGCAAGAAGGATAAAGAGTTTATTTTTGTAAGTACGACTTTTTGCCACAAAACTGATAAAATTACCAAATAGTGCCCGTTCTAAAAGTGTTGAAAAATCAAACGGACTCCCTCTTGTTACATATTTTCTGATCTAAAAGTACCACATCTAAATAGGCAAGAAAACTTTGATGTTTTCTCATTTCCTCTCGTTTCTTCTTTCACTTATTTGTTTCCCTCTTCTGCATCCAACTTCAACACGTAAAGCTCTGCCAAAAAATAAAATTATAAAACATGGGATGTTTCATACAAATTCGGTGGGCATGATGATTTTTGACAGCGCGCCAATTTAAGGACGGCATCGATCGATCGGCCCACAGTGGTGCCCAATTTGGAATTTACGTTCAAAATAGTCCAGAGCCTTAATTTTTCAACCGATGTGATTAATTTTTTTTTTAGATTAAAGATTTTGAGATTTTAAAGAGATCTGTCTAGCCAGATTTTAGAATTTTATGCTTTTTCGAAAAAAATTATTTAAGTGGAAAGTGCAGAGATTTTATAAATTTTGAGGGAAAATGATTACATTGTCAATGAATGTAACACAATAAAAAGTAGTTGAATACAATTAAAAAGTTCTTCACAAAGAAAAAATTGAAAAAAAAAACAAAAAAGTTCCTACCAGGGCATAGTGTTTCGACTACTTACATGGAGGCAGGTAGAAAATAGTCATGATGACAGTTGATAAAAAGACCGGTCGGACTTAGAGAGGGAAAAGTAAAAGTCATAAATACCAAATTTCACATTATTTACTCACCCCCTTCTTCACGAACGATACATTTACGATAAAATACGGGAATCGGCGCCTTATACAAATGTTTTAGAGAATTAGGCGAAATTGTACAAATGTTTTAGAGAATTCAATGTAGTTTTCGAATATATATTTGAATCTTTTCGCATGACTTTGCAAATGTCATTTTTAATTTTCTTAATTTTTGATCTTAGTTTTTTGTATAATTTTGCGAAAAGAATTTTTCGAACAATGAAAAAATCTCACCAAACATTGGGAAAAAGCGAGTATTTACACCTATGTCATGTTATAGTAAAACCTTTGTTTTCTGAGAGTTAAGAGCAGAAAAAAAAATTCTATCACATTTAATTCTTTGCAAATATATCACAGACGATTTGTTCCCGTTTTGTTTTCTGTCAGAAAGATCCTGAAACTTTAGTTCCCAAATTGTTCTTAAAGAGAAAGTCCCTTGACTTTTTCTCCCCTTTTTGGTCTTTGCCAAAACGTTCCGGAGACTCTTGTTCCCATTTGGTTCACTTGGAAATGTTCCTGCAAGTATTGTTGACATTTTGTTCTCCTTGGGAACGTTCTACAGGGTTTTGTTCTTATATAATTCCCATTGAGAGCATTCTGATAGTTTTGTGCTTAAAACTACGAGCACGAAATTTAGTTTCGATCACAGCTTTTGTTCTAGGTACCAATGCTACTTTGCGGAGGTGTTCGCATTAGATGCGATAACATTTTTCTTCCTTGAATTGACGCGCCATCCTAGTGTACATACGTACATATGTAAGAGGCTTGAAAACGCAAACGTATCTACATACATACCTACAATTTGTACATAAACCAGAAATCAAAAACAACGTGCCTACGTGCCTCGTCACATGTGCCGCTGGAGCGTACCATGTTGTACAGACCGCCGCCTAAATACTTTTTGAGCAGCTTGCTCGATGTGTGAGCCTAGCCATGCGCACGCACCAATTTTTGCATACAACTGCCACAACGCCCTGCTCCCCCTCCTATGGTGAATATATATCCATATGAAAACCACTGACTCTCAATAAATTGCGAAAAATGTTCGATTATTTTCTCTTATTTAAGTAAGTTCCCGAAATGTTTTCGTCAAATACGACCGAGTTGTGTATTGTTGCTTTGCATTCGAAGTGGTAGGACTTTGCACAAATACACTTGCATGAACCTACCCCGAGGACTTTGCTGGTGTGCTATTCGGCTTTACACCACACAACTAAGGATTATCCAAAGGACTGTACATTGTTATGCTACCTCAGCTCACTATTACGAATTAAAGTTACCAAGAAATGTGTAGATACGAGTGATATTTACTTACTTACGAAATCCACGTGTTGCCTTGACCCAATACCCATCTAAATTGTTAAGGTTATTTGCCTAATTTCAAACACAGCTGATTGTAGTTTAGTTTAGTTGAGCACAGTTCAAACATTCCCACAAACTGGGTGTATTTCATTTGGTGTATGGCAAAATTTGTTCTCATTACTTTCATTAACTCTTTAAGTGCGGAGAAAACCTAAAAAAAATGTATTTTTGTGCATTTTTTAGACTCATGGCTCGTATATACATACATCTATGGTGAATTTGAGGAATAATTCCGTTTTTCTTGTTTGTAAAGGTTTTCGAATCTTGACAATTCATGCTAGGGTTCGGGTGTTTAAACGCCCCCTCAAATCGAAGAATACTAATTAAGGGTTTAGAACAGAGGTTCCCAAACTTTTCTTTCTTGTAGACCCCTTTCAAAAATTTCCGGTGGACCCCCTGCTGATACATTTCTAAATATTCCCAAAGGTCGTAAAAAAATGAAATGTGAAGATTTGATCTACTTATGAAAATTTGCATCACGGGTGAATTCAAAAACTAAACTCGGAGTGGCCAAAATAAAACTAAAATATTTTCTTTCTTATAGCCCGAACACAATGAAAACGACGAGCTACAAACCACAGCTGTCAAATTATTTTAACACGTACTCTTATGTAGATAATTATTTTGGCGACGAGCCACGCGACGGCTGTGGTTGTGGCCAGATTAGATCTATTTCTATTTTTCTGGCGACAGATAAGGTTCTTCCTCTTCTTTTATGTCAAACTCATACAAATTCATGATGTCGCTGCCGCGTTCAAAGAAATCATGTCGCCATCGACAAAGCGCTTAGATAATAAAGATGACAAATTGGAAGCTGTGGTCGGTAGCTCGTCGTTTTCAATGTGTTCAGAACTTTACTTTTTTATTTCTATTTATTAAAATAATGTGATCACACACATGCAGGTTTTAAAAAATAGAGCTCGTAAATCAATCAAAATACTCTCTCGCTTTGAGGAGTTACATTTTTTAAGAGCACTTCGAGCCCTAGCGTTATTTACATTATCATCACCATAAACACATCAAATGTTCGGCTCAGACATGATTTTGTACGTGGAGTATTTCGACTGCTGAGTGGAAGATCGACCAATGCCAATGCCTTAATTGCAGCTAGGTTGTCACTGCAGACACGTAAACTCCTTGCCCTCCACCTACATATGTTCCACCACGTAGTACATGGCTTTGAGGATTGCAATTACCTCAGCCCGGAAGACCAAAGCATAATCCCAAATAGAAAGGTGAAGCTTATCCCCATTAACTTCGAAAAAGATCCGAACGAAGATTTTTCAGGTGTGGCTATTGAAACGGGTAAAATATGGATGAAACAAGCAAGAAAGTGTAAGTTCGGGCAGAGCCAAACATTAAATACCTGGCGCAAGTATTAAATATATCGCTAGCTTAGAGTGCAAAGTTGCTAAGTCCATTTTTTTCAATTGTACAGGAGGCACAAAAAACGTTCCTAAGGAATTTTCTTTAAGTATTTTGCAAAACTTTGAATGCAAAGTTTAGCGTTTTTCATTTACCCTTTATTAAAAAAAAAAAATTATGAAGTCTGATTTTTTACAAATTTTGTAGACAATTTTGTGACTTAGCAAATTTTCTACTTTTTTCTTAAAATTTTTTTGTTGGACTTAGCAAATTTTCCATGATTTTTTCCAATATGTACAATACGAAAAATCCATCTCGTAGTTACATTTTAAGAAACAATTTATTAGAACAAATTGTTTAGGTTATTTTAATCATAATAATAACAGAAGGGAATAGTGATTTTGTTGCATCAAATGTTAAAGCTGTTTTTGATAGACTTTTTATGCTGATTACTATAAGTGACCATCAATTCAAGGTGCAGGGATGGTATTTTCAGGGATAGTAGTCTAGACTTGTAGCTTTAATTTAAGCGTAATATCACCTTAAGTTTCTTTGCTATGGCTTCTAAAATATTGCAAAAATGCGATTTTTTGACACTTTGACCTCGTTTTTTTTCCAAATCTAGAGCTGATGGAGACTTTATACTTACGGATTCTATCCAAAACAGCTTTAGCATTGGATGCAACGAAATTGTTTCCCATTTTTGTTCCCTTATGTAATAGATTGGGGCTTATACATATGTTAGTCTTTGGCCGAGCTTCTCCTCCGATTTGTGGCGTGCGCCTTGATGTTGTCACACAAAGGGAAGGGACTTACAGTTTTACGCTGTTTTTGATGGCAGAAATACACTCGGAGGTTTGCCATTGCCTGTGGGGGGGGGGGGCAACCGGTGTTAAGGATAAACCTTTTCTTCTAAATTTGTTTGTAATGTTGCTTTGACCAGGGCTTGAACCCAGGCCCTGTACAGTGGCAGCGCGCACTGCTTACCACTACACCACAGCGGCCGTTCTTTTATTATCCCATTAATGGGATTTTCGGTTCCATTTTTAATTTGAAACGTAGTTGCGAACTTGTTTATTATAAACAACAACTTATACATTAAAATAATAATGAACAAACAATTAATGGTATATTAAATTAATAGTATTGTTCGCTGAAACTAAACTACACACAAAAAAATCATTCATGTAGCAAACTATCGTAAAAATTATGATGGTCTTTAGGCAAAGTTGCTTTTAAATACTGCAAGTCTTCGTTCTTTCTTGCTGTAATTCGGCGTCTGCCTTGGTGAAGTTGCTGCAAATTGGACCACTGTAACGGGACTATACTTTTGTCTAATCTTTGAGGAAGAGTTTTCCATGGTTTCTAAAGATATTACAAGCCAAAGTTTCATTTTCAAAATTAATAAACTTTGATTCAATTGCGCGGGCAAAAGATAAATTTTAAATTAATCTTTCTTGGCCAATAACAATTGGCTTAGACCTAAGACATCATAACTCTTACAATACGGTCAAATGCCTTTTATTTTCCCCCATACAAAATCGACCCAGCCTAATATACATACATACATATGTATATAAATATTGAAAAATAATGTTGTTGCAAAACCCTCAATACAAATCGAATTCGATAGCGTAAAAAAAATATTCATATTTTTTGGACTTATCAAATTTTTTGTGACTACTTTGGACTTAGCAATTTTGCACATTACGGAATAAAACGGGTAGAAATAAAACAAGCAGTTAGATCCTTTCAGAAACGGTGCGTTTTCAGTTTTCCTTGCTTCCTGCATCAAAAACTAATTTTTCATAAAATGTGGACTTAGCAACATTTCACTCTAAGCTAGCGATATGTATTTCACCTTTCCGAAAACTACCGCTACATAGTAAGCAGGGGTGGTTTTACCCCTATTTTAAACATCTTCGATAGAACGTTCAGTGAGACATAATGAGATAAACTTATACAGTCATATGTGGGCGGTATCACAATATTATCTTAAACGTATTTCTTGGTAAAGAATTATTGTAAGCATCAATTTTGAATAAATTAGCTTTAGTATTTACTGATTTAGCGAAGATTTTGTATTTCTCTAGATTACCGTTATATGGGATGTGGGCGTAGTTATTGCCCGATTTTAAGTTTTCGTATTACTGAAAACTACCGCTATAAGTGGCGAAATTTCCCGCAAAACATCCCGAACAAATTCTGGGTCTGCCGCTGGTTCCACTGTAAGTCTTCGAAATGCGTGTCATTTCAAAAGGATTCTACATTTTCCGCCTTCTTGCTAGCTTTTAAAGAATTTATTACAAAAGGCCCGGCGCAATACACTGCGTTTCATAATAATAGAACCGCCACATATTGACTATTTATTTTTATATTATTAAATTCAAATTATTTTCTTATACCGTCTCGGACCGTCACGGACATTTATACGGTCAGACAGAATCTGGTTACCTTTTAATAAAAATCAAGTTTAGCAGGATTTTATGCCACACCGCGCGAATGGTGTTCAGGCGACTTCTGAAAACATCCCGTGGCAGTCTTTAGCGCAGCGTTCTGGCAGGTCTGTCTGTTGGTGGTTGGTTAGAGTAGTTTTCAACTGTCTCATACGAGCTCCGCTTTTTTAAGCTGCTGCAGTATCCTGTGTGGACAGACGTGGACGTCAGTTTTTATGTACATACATTCCTAGCCCGTTGCTAACATGGCCCTGGTTTAGGTAATTCTGTTTTTGATTTTCCTGGGCATGAATCACGTATGACGACAATCGTCTGAACGATATCGTGTCGAGATTGTGTTGCTTCAAGAAAACCAAAAATTGTTTGATCGTTTGTGCGATATTGTCAACTCGATTCTAGTTTTGCTTCACGTAACAGTAACAATAACACGTAACAACAAAAGAAATGCATAAATCAGTGTTTTTACGATGTCGTTTTGTTAGTATCGTTTGAACGACTATTGTTTTAAAGTTACGTGATTCATGCCCTGAGCACTTCACTCACTGGAACCCATATTAGATTAATTTCGAAGTAATCAGAAATTAAGGCCAACTCTCTGCTACAGTTTGCCACTAATTCCGACCTATGTAACTGAGGACGAGGATTTGGAAAAAAGTGCCGTCCTGCTGTCTGAGAAAATGTTCAACTGCGTTCACGCGGGTGTTTGATGTTTTATGTACTTTACCGTCTTCTTAATTGTAAACGTTTCTTAATAGAAAATCCTACTGTTGTCCGATAGGCCAAAGGATGGCTTCAAATTTAGTTTCTCTATTAATCTATTTGATACGTCTGTAAATTTCCTTCAGCAAGCCTCCTTAGTGCCCGGGCTGGTCTTTTTATACTTCTTTAAGATTGGCTTGTACTGGTCCTCGACCTTACTTCTGCAAGCTTTGTAAGATCATCTCGCGTAATCTCAGGGTCTTAAATAGATATTTTATTATTTTCTGCGAAGATAATTTTGTCGAATAGATTACAGTTTGTTTTGCGATGGTTCATAGGCGCATAGGAATAAAACTAATTGCGTAATTTTAAGTAATTTTAAACTTCCAACCAAGTTCTTTCTTAATTCTTAACTCACGCGTTTTCTCTATTTCAGATTGTTGCTAGACGCCATGATCTCAAGTTGATCGTCACTTCGGCCACAATGGATTCGACAAAGTTCGCCACATTCTTTGGTAATGTACCAACGTTTACAATTCCTGGGCGTACATTCCCCGTCGATGTAATGTTCAGTAAAAATACCTGTGAGGACTATGTTGAATCAGCGGTTAAGCAGACTCTACAAGTGCACCTCACACCCAACGAAGGTGATATGTTACTATTTATGCCGGGCCAGGAAGATATCGAGGTAACATGCGAAGTGCTTGCCGAGCGCTTAGCCGAAATTGATAATGCGCCCGAGCTATCTATACTGCCAATCTATTCACAATTACCCTCCGATTTGCAAGCGAAAATATTCCAAAAATCACCGGAGGGTTTACGCAAATGTGTTGTGGCTACAAATATCGCCGAAACTTCGCTGACCGTTGATGGCATCATATATGTTATCGATTCGGGTTATTGTAAACTGAAAGTCTACAATCCGCGTATCGGTATGGATGCATTGCAAATTTATCCTATTTCACAGGCGAACGCCAATCAGCGTTCGGGTCGAGCAGGGCGCACAGGACCCGGACAGGCTTTTCGTCTGTACACACAACGTCAATACAAGGAGGATTTACTGGCGTTGACAGTACCTGAGATACAGCGTACTAATCTAGCGAATACAGTGTTGTTGCTGAAGTCGCTGGGTGTGGTGGATTTGCTGCAATTTCACTTTATGGATCCCCCACCTCAGGATAATATACTCAACTCGTTGTATCAGCTGTGGATACTTGGTGCGCTGGATCATACTGGCGCACTAACGCCGCTCGGACGGCAGATGGCTGAATTTCCGCTTGATCCACCGCAGTGCCAAATGCTAATTGTTTCCTGTCAAATGGAGTGCAGCGCGGAGGTGCTTATAATTGGTTGGTATAACTGAATTTTTGTAAAAACGATTTTTTTCTTAGAACAGTGCATTGATTTTAACCTACAATTTCAGTGTCCATGCTTTCCGTTCCATCCATTTTCTATCGGCCAAAGGGTCGCGAAGAGGAGGCAGACGGAGTGCGTGAGAAGTTTCAAGTGCCGGAATCCGACCATCTCACCTATCTAAATGTGTACCTGCAATGGAAGCAAAATAAGTAAGTGATTTAAATTTGAGATTTCAACTCTGTAATTAACTGGTTTCTTCTTTCTCTTCTTGCAGTTATAATTCCAGTTGGTGCAACGAGCATTTCATACACGTTAAGGCAATGCGCAAAGTACGCGAAGTACGTCAACAGCTCAAGGACATCATGGTACAGCAAAAACTTAATGTAAAATCATGTGGCACTGATTGGGATATTGTGCGCAAATGCATTTGTTCGGCATACTTTTATCAGGCAGCGCGTCTCAAAGGCATCGGCGAATATGTTAACTTGCGTACGGGCATGCCTTGTCATCTGCATCCCACCTCAGCGTTGTATGGTCTTGGCACAACACCCGACTATGTTGTGTATCATGAGCTTGTAATGACCGCTAAGGAGTATATGCAATGTGCTACCGCTGTCGATGGTTATTGGCTGGCGGAGCTGGGTCCTATGTTTTTCTCTGTTAAGGAGACTGGTCGCAGTGGGCGTGAGAAAAAGAAGCAGGCTGCTGAGCATTTAAAAGAAATGGAAACTCAAATGCTATTGGCGCAGGAGCAAATGGAGGAGCGCAAAATGCAGGCGGCGCAACGCGAGGAGCAAATGACGCCGAAACAAGAAATTATAACGCCTGGCGATGCCACGCCTAGACGTACTCCGGCGCGCATTGGTTTATAATTGCAGCCTTTCATTCACATATTTAATGCAATTAAGTACATGCATACTTTATGAAAGTAAAGTTTTAGACCAGTTTAATAATCTGTATTTATACCAGTATCTAATGGAAATAAAGTGAACTACGTAAATGTGTTAAATATTTTATGGTTTTAAAATTTTATTGCAGACTTAAGATATTGAATGTGCCATAACATGACAAGAATCCCGGAAACAACACGAAATGATGATTAGACGAACTCCTGCAAACGCTATCTAGAAATGGAATGCGGAGGAAGTGATATCTCGGAAGTGAGATATTTCAGCTTTAACATTGACGTTAAACTCTCATCGAAGAAACACGTTAATATGACGACATCCAGAGCCACAAAAAATCCTGCAGCTACAGCACTCGGATACCCAGACGGATGTATTCCTTGGTCATAAACCTAGTGACTGAGAGGCGCCCACTCACAAGACTACAACGTCTTGAAATGTGAACCTGCCCCGGGGTGGTAATATACGATATTTTTTAGAGCCTTCGCCAATCCACATAGCATAGAGCAGGCAGCCAAACGATCATTGATAAAGGTCTCCAGAGATGTTGTGGAAAAGGAAAAGTAGTATCATCTCGAAAGCAAAGTTAGCAAATGTAACAGTAGTTTAAACTTTTGAGATGGATAATTTAGGAAAAATAGTATTGTTGCACTATTGTTGAAATAAGCACTTTCTGTGGCCAAAACTCCAATTTTCAGTTTTTGCTTTCAAAATTTGTAACAGGCGGACTGCATTCTAGATACTCTAATTAGAAAAGAAATTATAAATTTATGACCGAAAGGTAACCCTGGCCACTATCTGTCGACGTAAAGTTTGTGGTTTTGGTTTAGGTTTGTGTTAAAATTTACTTATATTGAACTGCAGTGCAACGTGCTATTGACTGTAGCAACGGGCCTTTAAATAACATTTGTGTTTTTGAAAAAATTCATTGTTCCAAAGTGCATGTTCTGATTATACAAATTTAATCATATTGTGCTTGCTTCGTGGGGTGTGATTTTTTCTGTAAGATCTCGCCCGATATGACATATATGCACATTAGGGTGTCCCGTCAGAGATAAAATCTTTAAAAGTCAATATTTTTCAATTTGCAAACTCGTTTTCTCTTTAGGAGACTTCAAAGAATAATATCCAGTTATTTATTTAACCTTTTTTTTAATATTAATGATTTCTTTATGGTTCCCCCATTTAATTATTTTGGGGATTTTGGGGACCTATAAAAAATAGTTAGTATTAAAAAATCGTTATGTTAACAATTAGGTATTATTCTTTGAAGTCTCCTAAAGAGAAAAAGAGTTTGCAAATTGAAAAATATTGGCTTTTAAGGATTTTATCTCTATTTCTACGAAGAAGTGTTTTTTCTCATATAAACTACGTGGAAAACTTCATGGTGTGGTAGAGCCCTCAAAATGACACACAATTCTGACTTTTTTACCTTTTTCTTAACTTGTGTAAAATTACGCAAATTTCTATACCTCTTGCGATAGTGTAGCTCAAAAAAATTTTTTGACGGGACACCCTAATGTACATATATCTGATAAAAGGGCAATATATCTACTATCATTTGGTGTATGAATTGGCTGCTGCTGTTTGATAAAATTGCTATTTTCAGACGCCATCAAAGTCAAAAATGAACAAATATTCAACGTGGGGATCGACCGGGCGGGCGGGGTTGTTCTAGCCGCTACAACAACAACAACAACCGGAAGTCCTTTTTTTAATCGGACGTACATGCTTTTACCACATATTCGTATTCTGGGGACAAAAATACGTAACTTTCGTCAGAAACATTTCTCTGGAATGGACTTCCGGTTAAAATAATGAACTTCCGGTCTGTCTAACCTACTTCCGGTCGAAGTCGGTACTACGACCAAAAGATAGAGCATTCCCGGACTGGTAGTTCATATTATTCCGTTTTCCAATAAAAATATTTTCCTCCATTTTAGGAGGGGGTCTGGGAGACCCTGTATATGGGCGGCGGGTGTGGATGTGGCCCGATTTTGTTGATTTTCAAACCAACGGTTTTTAAGGTTCTCAGAAGCACGTATACAGGATTTTAAGCGCCTATCAGGATTGGTTGATTTATCGCCGCAGAAAGTGCTTATTTCAGCCATTGTGCGTTGGATAAAAAAAGTACATTTATGTACCTTTAAAATTACCTTCAAAAATAGGGGGTTTTAAATTATTATTTTTTCTTATTTTGACTTAAAAGCAGTATCCATTGCTCTTTTTAAAATGTTTCAAGTATATATTTTTGCTGTTCTCACTTTAAGAAATCCATTTTATTCGCCGGAAGAACCGACATGGCGCAATGCCGAATACATTTGAAACCCCCTACCTTTTCTTATTTTCCTCAATTCTCCATATGCTTTAAAATACTGTTAAATTTATTACTACTAGGCTCTTCCTCTTCTGAGTTCCGGACCACAAAAGCATAGAAAGCAACAAAAAGGCAGACATGCTTCTCATCAAGGCTGCAGCAACGGCCTTGTTGTTGTTGTACCAGCATATAAACTCGCCAGAGTCTTTTGGGAGAATGCTGGAGTGACATTCCTTACGTAGACCCGATACCGGCGGGAGCATTAGAGAAGAACTTAAAAGAGCAGAAAGAACAAGTAGAGAAAAACAGTGAAGGCAAGTCTCTGGACAGCGCCAGGCGAAGAGGCTATTAGGGGGATATTGAAGAAAAAGGAAGGGTAAGCTCAATCTAATCTCCTGGGTCAACATGGCGAAAAGTGCGGCGGTGGATTTCGCGTCATAAGTGGTGAAGTTGTTTGAGCCATCGCTATGATTAGGCAATCGTTGCATAGCTCACTCATTTGGCCATGTATATGTTACCGTATAGATTACCTTTTCATTAATTCTACGCGGCTTGGGCTTAATATTTCAGAATTTGACTAACGATTGACGTTCACACAGATAGTTTGTCATCCGTTTCGTCCGATATGGTAACGACGAGTCTGGGTGCTTTGGGATATAGTTAACTGTATCAAATGCTTCGACTGGTCGTTCAGGCCATTTCAGGATATTGTGGACTATAATTATCGAACTTGTGTTCTACCTTACCTGCCCAAGTGGTCAGCGTGGATGTAAAATGGATTTAATCGACTTGTAACCGTTATAACGTCTATCGAGTTCAATTATGTATAAAGATAGGTCACTGAAGCTAAGAATACAAGATTTTGAGTCGAAAAAAAGACATCCAATTACTTAAATTTTTGTNGGTCACTGAAGCTAAGGATACAAGATTTTGAGTCGAAAAAAAGACATCCAATTACTTAAATTTTTGTACAGAAAACAAAATACAAATGCTCAGGGCATCTCATTAAACATACCAACGCAGTCCAAGTACGAAAAATAATGAACTCGATTGGGTACTAAGTAGTAGGACTTAGTTGTATTGGCAAATCTGGAGGGACACTTGGGATTTTATGAACCGTGTAACTGCTGCAATGGTATGCCGCTTATTTATGTATAACTTTTAATATCCAGAATGGACCCGCAATCAAACTAAATATCCATTTGATTCCCTTACTTCAGTTACATGGCAATGCTAGAACGAGCCTTTTGTCTACATCAGTAATATTTTATCAACCGCTACCAATAAAGGATGGTATGGTGTAGATTATTAAGTCTTGACCATAGTTGCCAATTTAGATAATTTGACTTTTATTCAATAAGTGTAAATGTAGTAAATAAAAATACATGTACATATTGTAAATTAGCAGTAGTTAATGTGTACATAGATACGAGATAAAGCATGTAGTTATTGTTTCATATATAAATCATACGTAATCTAATCTACAATTGGGATTATCACATGTTACTATTTGAAACAATCAATATATAACAGAAGAGATATAGGGAAAAGATATTCCAAAGCAACACGTTAGTTCTCACTCCTTGCGAATAGCCATCGTCTTTTCGATTTCCTCTACTGTGCGTGGTACTATGGCGAAATTCTCACACCCATCCTTGGTAATCAATACATCGTCCTCAATGCGTACACCGCCAAACTTGCGGAAACGTTCATATACCTCGACAACAATAAACTTATTTAAATTCGGATCAGCAAGTGCACGATCCATTAGGTATTCGATAAAGTAGCAACCTGGCTCGACGGTCACGTACATCCCTGCTTTGAGAGTGCGCGCAAAGCGAAGTTTACTTAGCCACGGTTCGGCGGGCCGACTTGGTTGTCCTGCTATATAGCCGCCAACATCGTGCACATCCAAACCAATCAGATGTCCCAGACCATGCGGTTGGAAAATGCCAGCTAAACCAGCCTCCAGCATATCATCCACTTCGCCTTTAAGCATGCCACCATCCTTCAGTTTTTGTAGCATAACACGACAAGCCAACTTGTGCATATCTACCCATGAGACACCATCACGAGCTTCCTGCAAGACTGCGTTGCGCCCAGCCAAAACAGCATTGTAAATTAATTTCTGATCTTCGTTGAATTTACCATTGGCTGGAAAGCTACATGTTATATCAGCTGCATAGCCGCAATAGTTTGCACCCATATCAAAGAGGCACATGTCACCGTCGCGTACGGGTCCATCATTTGGCGCACCCGCGTGACCATAATGTAGTACGGCTGAATTCACACCACTGCCGCAAATGCAAGTGTACGATGCATGTCGGCAACCGCCTACAGCATAGGCATGATGCAAAAATACCGCTTCGCCTTCATACTCCGAACGACCCGGACGCATAAACTGCATAACGCGAATGTGTGCATCAGAAGAAACCTTTGCCACGTAACGCAGTACCTGAATCTCTTCAGGGGACTTGATAACGCGACATTCGGCAATCACCGGATGCAGCAGATCGCAATCGACAACAAATTTTTCAATGCCTTCAAAACGTGCTGGCTTCGAGACTAAACCACTATCCGTATTAAGGCCACTCAAGGTAAGGATGAGTGATGGATGTGCGCTTTCAAAGAATGCATTTAACTCATCAACATACCGCACTTCATCAACTTCATACATTTGTTTGAATTCGTCCAAAGCATACAACTTTCCCATCCAAGTTGCATACTCTTCGGGTAAGCGGGGTACAAATAAAGTTGACTTGCCGCTATCTACTTCCAGCACACCGTAGCAACCAGGTTCTTTTACTCCAAACATATATTGAAAATAAGATTCTTGACGAAAGAGGTAGCTGATATCCGTATCGTTGAAACTAACATCATCTCCGCCAGCGAGAAGAACGTATGACTTGGACTTTACCGAACCGTGTTCCCTCAAAGCAGCAGCCGTCTTCTGCCGATTTTTCTGAAACAGGGACATTGGCACAGAGTGCGTTGTTGGACCCATACGAAAGGAAGCCATTTTTCGTGAAATCACTTGCTTTGTTCTGCAAAAAGAAATGTAATAATGTATGCAACTACAATCTTTATACCTATATTATCACTTACGTGTGTATAGTTACAATTTCGGACCGCAACTGGATTTCATTCCCAATAACGTTTATCTCTCTTGCTGTGGTCGCGTATTTATTTGTCCAATGGTTTTTATTGCACTTCAACTAATCAGTATGCAGCGAAGAAAAATAAATTATTAGGGGTATTCTCTGAGTCTTGCAAAGCCCTTGCACGGTGCACAGATCGCACGGAATAGCCGCTTTTCGTATGGGACAACTTTGCAAACCGTGCAATCCGAGCTCCGCGTAAGGGTTTTGCAAGACTCAGAGAATACCCCTATTTGTAATCAACAAGTTTTTGTATTGCCTACACTTTAGCAGTGTTCGCGAGGCAAATAATCTTCAATAATTGTCGCAAATGGTAAGGTTTATTAGAGTGCAAAGTGACAGTTGATTTGGAAGCGACATTCGAAATTTTAACTGGGAAAGCATTTACATACAAGAATTTGCAAGTAGAATATGTAACATGCAGTTGGTAATGAATTACCTAGAATTAAAGATAGCAAAATTACAAAAAATGGAAAATTGTATAAACCAAAGACAAGTAAATGCTATTTACAATAGTCTAATTCAATATATTGTTCCAAAACTCCATAAATGTACACGTTTTATTGTGTTCCGTTTGATAGTTTTAAATGTACACAACGAACTAATCATACTTACGCAAGTTTTGATTTCACGCACAAATTGGTATGTTTTTCTATTTGAGAGGGAATACCAAATAATTTTCCGAAACATCATTACTGGTTTATTTTTAATGGACTTTTGCTCGAACACAACTTTTGTTTTTGTTTCATCAGCTGATTGCAGCTGACACATGTTATTCAGCATAGAGAAGGGAAAGGCCGATTGTCAATCGATAACTTACTGGCTGTATGTTGTTATCGAAAAATGCAGTTATATGTGGCAAAAATCGGAAATGGCTAAATTTATCTGCATTATACCATGTTCTGACCGACAACGAAAACACTTTGAAAACGGGTTTTAAAATTGTGGGCTGAAGGCTGTTCACACCGGCTGTTAGTGTTTTCGTTGACATTTCTTACATCCTCTGATTGCAGTTTTGCTACACAAAAACGAAACCAAAATACTTTTCCCACATTTTCTTGTCATTAGCAACCTCTTACTTTCATTCTTATTTTAGTTTGGCCAGCCAATTAACAATAAATACGAAATAGCGTATTAAAGATGAGAAAATACGACTTCCACTTCGATAAATAATCGAAAAAAACTAGTGAAGACACCGATTGGAATGAGTGGAACGTGAGTTTTCAAGTAGTTTTCAGCGAAAACTGGTTTTCGTGTGACAGATTTTACATGGACGAAAACATATGTTTTAGGTCGAAAACCAGTTTTAGCAACGAAAATTTAAAAAATAAAACAGATCCCGAGTTTCGATGGCCAATGGACCATGTAAAAACTGTTTTTCTTTGGAAAAACGTGCATACTCTGTTTGTGGGGAACACTGATGGAGTGACAATGCTTGGCCAGATATAAATCTGAATATTTCTGGATAAATAAGTCTTGCTGGATGGCAGGTTGGCGGATCTACTGCCAAAAGAAGTTCTTCCATATGTACAACTGAAACAATATTCATGCAGTCGTATGGGAACGTACGTAGTATAAAGTGGTAGATAAGACGCGGGACAAAATCACTTCTCACAGATAAGTCAACGACCCCCGATTTTATCCTCTGAAACAGGATTGATAACATTGCATCATATTGCAACGGGCCGGCTTTATGAATTAGGGCGGCTTCTATTAAGAACTCAATCAAAAAATGAAATTAGGCCGCGCGGGCATAATTCATTTTGAAAAGTGAAATTCATTTGGCTGCAAACAATAAATGAATTGGGAAATGTTCGGTTATTTGTACAAAGGTTTTTTGGTAGGGCGGAGGGGGCGGGGGTGTGGCACCTAACCGCCAAATTAATTGTGTAGTGGCGAGTTTAAATTTTGTCTGTCACAATTCTAATTTTACCCCATTTTCAAATGGATCCCAGGGATTTGTAGAGGGGTCAGAGAGGGAAAGGGAAACTTTTCCTAAAGTTTGGACAATGCTTTTTTAATGCGTGGGATTTTAGGTTCAGCACAACGCTTCGCTCCACCAGCAACCTAAAAACTACTGTTCAAATAAGTGAAAATTTCCGTATTCATATTTTGATAGCGGCATAATTTCACTTTTCATAGTGAATCAAACCCGCGCGGCCTAATTTCGTTTTTTTATCGCGGTCTTAATACAAGCCACCATAATTTATGGATCCAGGTGGCAATAACAAACGGAGGCACATCTCCTCTATTAAAAATAGCTGGATCCCCGATTGAAATAAAATCAAAACGTGATTCACCCCTCGCAGTCGTGTCCGATAATCTTCAGAGTGCGGTGAATTGGCTTCGGACCCCATAATCACGCTGGTCTTTCTGCGCCTTGCTCAGCCAATATATCTCTTAGCAGCGCCATGTAGACGGACAGCAAACATAGTTTTCCGGCCGCGCCCCTAAGCATACTGTCACAATGTTACCATTGCGGAAATTACATAGATAAAATGAAAGCTTTAATCCCGTTTTTAACAGCACTCAGGACCTGAGTCTACCTGGGTATTTCGCTGTCCTCAGCCTAAAAATTCTCCGGATTCCGGCTTGGTGTGTTGGAGATTAATCTGGCGGCTTTTTATCCTCCAGAAACTTCTGCATCGGTCCTCTTGAAAAACCGTCCAAGGCTGATTATGGCTCTTTGAAATAGGATACGCCACCCGAACTTTGAGCGTCCAACGACGCCGAGTGGGAGTCCACCTCCATTTAATGGGGACTTTTTCCCCTTCTTGAAGCCATAGTTGATGACTTCTTTGGGGTCGTTTAGAGGACCACGGGACTCTGCATTAAGCGCTTGCCGATAGGGTTCCTCGGTCTTCTCGAGCCAGATAATGCTCCAGTTGTGTGCTGGAAGGTTATGGTTTCAGTATGTGACGATTTCCCCAATTAAGAAAATAGACTTATTTTTTTTTTTAGAAAAGCTGCGAAGCTATATCATGTTTTGTATAAAAAGGTTAGTGCTTTCTCTATAAAATATCAAAACTGGCACATGGATCCCTAGCAAATGATGAAGGCGATTTAAAATAAAGCCGTTTTCATATTTATATAAATTTTTAGCAGTAAGGAAATTTTTGAAAAGTACTTAAATATACATACAAACCAAATGAATTAATATGGAAACTAATCGACAAGCGTTATAGGTTAACATTCTGATATCTAACAAGTTAAGTCTTATTTTTTATTAACCATTACTTTTTCGAAATGTTCCCTTGCTGTGTGGGTGGTGTGTGCACCGCCTGCATGTCGTGGTACACACATTTTCATCGCTACCTTCTGTTGGTTAAGCCAAGCATTCGGCGCATGTGGAAACTCATCTTTGCGATAATAGCCCATTATACCCGATTTGCGTATTGACCCGATTTCATAGGTTATTAGAGGACTCAATAGATTGGTGGCATGTGCATTTGGCAGCTTTGCCACTTTCGATTTCTCCATGGTGCGCATCACACATGTTGTATCACACGAGATGCAAGCGAGATCCTGCAACACTTTTATACGCGCCCCAGCTGCTGCGCACTCATCATTCGTGGCATCCATGTATTTTTTTAGTTTTTCCTGTAGCCCATGAATTTCTGCTTCTAATTTCTCTTTGAAGCGGTTCAGCACATCGTCCACAGATGCCAGGCCGAGTGAGGTTCTCATATTATCCATAGCTTGGTACATATTTTTGTCGTTCGTTTTAAGCTGCTTATGGACTTCGGTGAATTTCTTCTCCAAACGACATTGGAGCTCTTGCATTTGTTCTTGTGAGGCCTTGCGTTGCAATTGATTGTAGTCAACTTTGTCAGCCAGCAGAATTTCGATTTCACTTTTGTCGATCTTCTCGTTCATGACATCCTCTAAAGATTTGGTCAGCTCTTCAATTGTATCACTGTTGCTCATATTCTTTGATTCCAATCGATCTATTGCCTCTTTTACGCTGCTGACATAGAATTTCAAATCTGTCATGTGCTCCTGCAGCTCTGTAATGAGCATTGTGGTACGCTGGCAATCCTGCTGCAGCATTGTGGCAGAAATTTCATTCACTTTATTTGTTAGCAAACAGAATTCCGATTTGAGATCCAGCAACTGGTCTAGCAGCTTATCGGGCGAGTAGCATAGGTGTGCGTCTAAATCGTACTCTTCAGGCCGTGGTGGTGGCGGTTGCGGTTGTTCCATTGTATGCGATGTCAAAGGTGGTTTATAAGATGGATCGCTTTGCACATCGCTCTCTTCTTCTACCTCCTCTTCGACATCTTCCCGTTCCAACTCGGGATCATAATAGATGTCAGATAGACGAAAACCAAACGCTTGTTCAATGTATATATTTTGTTTTTGAATGGCGACCATCATTGTCATGAGCGAGCGCAGTTTGTCCAACTGCATGGCTGTCGATTTTTTATTCAAAGTAATCAGCACCAACAGGCGCACCTGTTCCATGGTCAATTCAAGCTGATCTTTCATAATTGCTATGCCGCGATACATGCCGTCTGGTATGTGCTGTTGCACACCCTGGGGAGCAAGTTCCAAATCTTCGCCGGATGTTTTAAGCTCAAGCACCTGTTCGATAGCTTCTTCTACTTTGTATTCAGAAGCTTGAGGTTCTAAATCGGCTGCCTTATTAGATTGTTGCATTTCGATTAGTTCCTCGTTAACAGGCGTGAGGCCTTCAATCTCAGGGTATTGTTCTTCAGCGGCAGGGGGTTGCTCTTCAATTGCAGGCGCCTGCTCATTGGTGGGTACTTCTTCGAGCATCTCTGTAGGAACATCGTTATTGGATTGAGCTTCTGTTACTTCTTCAATTTCAATTTCCTCGGCAGCGACCGGTTCTTCGGGATCAGCGCCACCGGTCTGTCGCTTGCCTGAGCGTTTGACGTTCTTCACACCATATTTTCCGGGTCGTTTCAATGTATGTTTGGTATGCTTGAGGAAAGCACCTTTGCCAAGCGCAACGGCAGCACCTTGATAATGGTCATATGATTCACTTCCGAACTTTCCACTGCTCATAACAAAAGAGACATTTTCATACTTTGTATTATCCACAGGGTCATCGATGATATTTAGCTTTTCGGCGAAGGAAAAAAGTAAAAGGTGAAGCGCGTCAAAATTTACATGGCCAGATTCCGGTGAACCGATGGCGAGATCAATCAGTTTTCGAAAATTCAGTTCAGTTCCCATATTTACTTGGAAAAGCTTAACCAAATTTATTTATAACGAAAATTGTTAAAAAAAATAAGTTTTCCGAAAAAAAATATTTTCACAAATTTCTTCCAATGTGTCAAATTTGAAATGTAGCTCAATTTATGTATACACAGTGGCTCAATTCTTTAGCCCTGATGGAGTCTAAGAGGGCTGGAAATTTGTAGGACATTATTATTGTAATGTATTTTGGATTTTATTTATTTTATTACGAGTATAAAAGCGGGTACTTGAGGAAGTGTTTTTAATTGTGGTAATAGCATTGAAAATATTAATGTGAAGCTCTAACTTAACAAAGGCTGCGTTTCTTTATACATTCCGGATAATCCCATTTCACAGCCGGAATAAACAGAATGCTTTTGAAATATACGTTAACATATCATCAGGAACGTTCTAAAGAATAAGTAAACAAAAAAGTTTATTCCAAACGTTCAGAATGAATAAAGAAATTCAGCCAAAGTATCAAGGACTACTCCTTCATAGAAGCTTGGTATCTAAACTAAATAAGGGGGCTAAGAAAGCTACTAGAGCTACTTAAATACCCACTTTTGCAAAAGCTCTATGGGAAAAAGCAGGAAGCTTAGAGTTCAAAAAAGAAGTTGGATGGACTTCCTCGGCGCATGTGGGATGCTCCCAACGCTATGTTGGAAAAAGAAGGCATATTTAGTCCCACTGTCGGGAACTTCTGTCCTCACTATTATACCTCCAGAGAGAGCGGCTGATCGACTGTGCCTGAGCACGGAACATAGTTTTTGGCAGTACCAGGCACCGACTCAGATCCCAAAAACTAAACTCCACATCGACTGGATATAAATGAACAATGGGAATCCCTCCCCTAATCTCTTCTCACAGCTGCGGAAACAGTGGTTGGCTATTAAAACCCATACGGGAAAAACTGGTATGATGAAGAGTGACGTGTACAAAGCATACAAGGCCACCTAGCCCTTCGAGCTGAAGCTTAGCGATACTGCGAGAAATCTTAGGAGAAGGGCGTCTAGGAGAAGGAAGAAGCGAGATGCAGAAAGGTGTGAGAGGAACCTTCGGATGGTGGTATGCAGAAATGCGGCTCCAAGATTCTATAAATAAATCAGCTAGCAATCAAATGGTGTTTAGGTCGGGGCTGAAGATGGAGATCTGGTAAAAGACGTTTGACGTAGGCTTGAAGAAGATGAAGAAGAACGCAGATCAATGTATAGGGACGAAGCTCACATCGGAGGATGAATGAGGATTATCGAAATAAACAACGCCCCAGGAGTTAGGGCTGGTTAATTCGTCAAAATCGGACGGCGAGCAGGTGGTCGGGCGCCTGAACCAGCCGCTAAGAAAAAGTTGGTTTCATTAATACATGCCCGAGGATTGGAGTCCCAGTGTACATATTATCGCGAAATAAGCCTTCTTAATATTCTCTATAAGGTATTATAGATGATGCTGTGTGAAAGTATGAAGCCTTAACCAATTCGTATTTTTCTTGGCGCTAACTGAAATGTGAAGATAGTCGGCTGAAATCTTACCCCAATTGTGGCCGACAACGAAATTTTCATGTGGGCGCAAAATACGAAAAATGCATGGTTTAATGTATGTATGTATGTACATACATATTAATATGTAAATTTGAGACAATTTTATTTCAGTTATTTTATTTATTGTTCAACAAATTTGTGAAGATCAATATACATATGTACATAGGTCAAATGCGTTTTAAAGGTGAACAATTTCAAACAATTATTGGTGAGTAAAAAGTACAGGGTACTCCAATAGGGGTGATGTTGAAAATTTTATGGAAATTTATAGAGTGCCAGATAATTTTCTTCAAATCAAGTTCTTTTGTAAGTGTATATCGACAGATGAGCGTAAGATCGCCTTATCTCGGCAGCCAGTTCGAAAACGCAAAATCTCAGAAAACATTTCAAGAACGCCCTTTTTTAGAATTTGGTTCAAAAACACTATTGGGCAATTCACAAGGTGTCGTATTTGTCGTGTTTGTCGTGAAGTCATGATATTTCATGACAGTTGTAAAAATGTTGTTATTGTTTTGTGAAGAAAAATAACACATGACGATACAACTCTGCAACCTATGTTTATTCGGTGTTATGTGAGGTTAAGTGCTGAGATATAATAAATAATCGTAACAGGTGTTCACAACCGTCGTGTTTTAACACAACTTTTGTTAGGAAAATATAACTTCACAACACCTTGTGAATTGCCCAAATATATCGTTCCGTCGTTGGTTGTATTCAACGTCGCCGATGCGTAACGACCCATAAATCTTCTGCGGAATCTCTGAATTCCAAAATGTAAATTAGTACATATTTTTAATTTTTGAACCACAACATGTGGAACTGTCAGGCAGCTTTTCTGCCTGAAAAACCCTCCCGCTGCGGAATCATTAGCATAGTTTTTCGTGAGAGCTCTCGTCGAAAGACACCTCCACAAACTCTGCCTCCCGCGCCACCCATAATAGAATGGGATTATAGCCCTCCAGAACTTCAGAGGGTCCAGTTTCCAAGTCAGTTAACCATGCCGTTTTTCTGTGTTTAAAGGTGGTTAGTGCTGCGACAGTTCCGCCCGCAATATCAAGAGTCATGTTCGGCATGACGTTACGCGCCAGTGAAGAAGTTGTCCAACCCACATTTCTTACCAATAGCTCCCCTGCAGTAGTATAAAGCAACCACCGCCTTTCTCGCCGACAAAAAAGAGACTATGCAGATATTTTTTTGTTCAAAAGTCCATAATTTGTCAAAGTACCCGCATTAACGGTAGTACTAGCATAAAGAGCAGACGCCTCATCAAGTTTGTGAGGCATTCAGTACTCTATGCAGCAATACAAAGAAAACCCTATAAGCATTTAACACCCTACCGCAGATGACAAAACTCATCGCAGGTCAATTGATTTAACTAGGCAGAAGTTGAAATATCTGCGTGTTTGCTTTATTCATTCGAAACGTTTCCGGAATGAATAAAGAAACACGCTCAGATGAGTAGAAATGCATACCGAAAGTGTATAACTAATGTGACCAACTATTTCATAGCTAAAAGCAGTAAAGGTTAGGTTTGGTTAGGTTAAAGTGGTTGCCCCAGACAAGGGACACACTTGGACAATTAAGAGACTGTCCTTTGTGATACCACTGAGCACAGACCCTTAATTTAGTCGGCGAAACGCCGCGAGCCGATTACCAAATTTCGTATGCGACTAGTTTCGATCCCGGAGAGCTCAGTTTCAATTTAAGAAGTGCGATCAAAAATGCTTCCATCTTAGCGCCGCGAAGATTGGTTAGTCTAAAAGAAAGTGTGGAGATGATTCCACCTCATCTTCCTTCTGTTATGGTTATTCTGTGTGCATTACCCGCAGGCGCAGTGTTCAACATGACGTTAAGCGCTAGTGTAGGTGCGAGCCTTTTCCGGCCTTCGGGAACACAACACTGACTAGCCCCAAACCTTGGGGATGTACCCGGTCCTCACGCAGGTCGAATAAATAGGAGCCAACCAATTGCACGACACCTCCAGAGCCCTTCGCAGCCGCGCAGATATGATGCCATCGGTCCCTGGTCGTTTGAAGGGTTTGAACGAATGTGAAGATCGTCCAGAAGAACGGAGAAGTACCGAGTTGAGGTTTAAAATATTGCAAAGAAGTACATTTGACTGTGCTGCGAAGTACGAAGTACGAGAGCTAAAAAAGAAGTACTATACTTCCGAAAAAGTACGGTTGGTCACATTAGTTATGACTTCCATTTCATCGACTTTCCCGACATCAGTGTTCCAGGTGCTCTTAATTTTTTTCTCAACTAACGTACGGCATAAAAGATAGACATTGGAATATTTTTTCGTAAGTGGCTTCCATTTTCGTATGATTCGTAACTCTAAAGTCGTACGAATGTCACGTCCGGCATCATGGAAACACCCATATGTAAAACATGATAATTTGAGTTGTGTGGTAATTGCAGAGGATATTAACTGAAAAACATTGTGTCAGACTTGAAATTAAATATTTAATTAAATACATTGCATACCTATTGGGAAACCCTATGTCTCCCTAATTTCTTTTACACGTAAAAAAAAATCATCGGTGCTAGTGGGAGAGGAAAGCTTCAATGGGCCAAACACTGCATGCATACGCACTAGGGATGCCAATCCCGGGATTTGGGTATCCCGTTGTTTTTGAGGTGCTGAAAATCCGGGATTTGCTTGCATTAATCCCGGGATCCCGAAAAATTTGAAATATCGGATTGATATTTAGTAAGAACTTGTTTATGAATTTTGAAGTATGATTTTTGTAAAATGCAGTCTTGACTGCAGTTAACAAAAAGCTGTACTTTTAAATTGCAGCCTGAGCCTTTTTTGAAGAAGATTTAAATGAATGTACTCATAGCGTCGCTAATATAAACGAAACTGAGAGTCTTAAAAAAAAATTACATACTTTCTCAAATCAATCTACTTCAAATATTTTGTAGTGGAGGAGATATAGGTTATTAACTTCAAATCGACTGCTGAGTGGAAGATCGACCTATCTCGGCAGCCAGTTCGAAAACGCCCTATCTCAAAAAAGTTTTCAAAAACGTCGTATTTCAGAATTTGGTTGAACAACGCCCCATTTCAGAATTCGTTTCAAAAACGCCGTATCTCAGCTGCCGATTCAAAAACGCCCTATATCAGCACATTTTCAATACATTTTGAAGTGAGATAGGGCATTTTTGAATCGTATTTTGAAATAGGGCGTTCTTCAACAAAATTCGATCACTCTCAAATTTTCGAGTTAATTGCGAAAAAATGGCGAAAAATTCGCCATTTCTGTATGAAGTAGAATAAACATGTTTAGAGAATTCTTTTTTGTATATTTTTGTTTATTTTTTTTTATTAATCATTACTTCCAAAAGTACCTGGTATTTACATTTTTATTTGTGATGTATGCGTTCCCTCAATCACATGGTCTTTTAAATACAATTTAAAAAATGTATTACTTTTAAATTTGTCTGATTTAATAA